TCTTGTCTGCATAACGTATCCGACATGCCGCTCAAGCAATTTCTCTCCGCAATCCAGAATCCAGCTCATTACATTCGGTCTTAAACAATAACCAGAAGAATGCCCTTTGAGAATCTCGTCTTGCACGAAGCACGTATTAAACACATAGACACGTGCTAGGAGATTATGTGTATTCCATATTGAGATCTTGATCTTCACCGAGCTGGAATGTATTTACACCAGAAATCGCGTGTTAGCGCAGGGCGTGAGCCGCCTGGCCTCGCTTCTAATGCCACTTAAGACACAACTTTCTCCTAGGGATAACAACAAGCCACTCGCTGAATATTCTGACTGTCTCAGGAGGAGGCTCTCGAAGGAATCTAAAGTCATCGCGTTATGTATGGTATTTGCCTGCCCTAAAGTTTGTTTGGACTGACACGCCTATGGGGCGTCGTCTTCCCGGGGAAGACATAGACAAAATCTAATTTCTTCTCGAATTCTTGAGGTTGACGCGACACACAGGCATGTATAAATCAGCCGGCTGGTCCCGGTGTTTCTGGGCCAAGTCATGTCCACGACAGAAAAGCAGTAGGCAGGGAGCAACAGAGTAGTGAGGGAAGACCTCGATAAACGCACAGTAGCTCAGGATTAGTCGATTTGGTCAAACGGTCCTTTCAAACCGGGAAAGATGTTGAACCAGGTCGTCCTCGCGGCGCTTATGCCGGCCGTCCTGGCCAAGCCCATCGTGTAAGTCCAGTTGACCTATTCTTGCGCATCATCTAACCAGACTAGGCAACGAAGCCAAACGGCTACAATGCATGGTGCTCACAACGGCCGCTCAATCTTTGGCAACGCTGTGCCAGTGGCTATGGCCGACGGCATGACTGACAGTTCGACCAACGTTGCTCTTCAAAACGATGCAGCCACCGAACAGGGAAAGTCGTTCAACAAATCCGTTCCCAAGATGGATCCCCGAAACATGGCAGCTACGCAAACCCGCGACTATGGTCGCAGCCCTGAACCGACTGTGTACATCACGCCGGAGATCGCTGGTCGAGAGCTTAACCCCGATCAGGTAGCCGCATTATCGGCAAAGGGGGGCGCTCAGACAATCTTCGACGGCGCCACGGCGATGATGACCGGTATTGCAGGGGCTGTCGGCAGCGGCATGGCCGACGGCATGGGTCACAACCCCCATTCTAAAAGAGAAGATGCCCTGCCATCCAGCACCAGTGCCAGTGCCAGTGCCAGCGCCACTGTCGCGCAAGCTTCGCCGAGCGCCTCGAGCGCTGCCAGTTGCGACTGTATTAGCGCCTGCGCCGATGAAGATGGCAAAGCTACCCAGATGAAGTGCATGAAGACCTGTACTCAGAACTGCGATGGCGATAATGACACCACCAAAAAGGATATGCTCGGAGGACTTCTCTCGGGTTCTCTTTTGGATAGTCTGCAACCGAGGGATGTCGACCCTCGCGATTATCCTCACCAAGATCCCCCTCAAAAGTATGAGGAAAAGAAGCCTGACCCGCCGAAACACGAAAAGGAGCCTCACAAGCACAAGGAGAAGAAGCCGGATCCACCTAAGCATGAGGACAAGCCCAAAGACCACAAGGAGAAAAAGCCTGATCCACCCAAATATAAGGAGGAGCCTCAGAAATACACCGAGAAGAAGCCTGACCCACCCAAGTATGAGGCCAAACCTCAGACATATACTGAGAAGAAACCTGATCCCCCCAAATACGAGGAGAAGCCGCAGAAGTATGAACAGAAGCAACCCGATCCGCCAAAATACGAAACCAAGCCTAATCCTCCTAAGCATGAAGAGAAACCTCAGAAATACGAAATGAAGGCAGAAGATGTCGGTGTCAGATCTGTCGACCGCTATCCTCCTAGGCCCTCTTCCAAGCCCGTTCATAGACCTGCGCCGGAACCTGCGTCCAAACCTGCCGAGCCCGTCAAGATCGCCGAGGGAGGTCAGGAAGAATACGAATCATGCATGAAGCACTGCAAGACTCACAACTGCCAGCACTCCAGCGTCGGAATTGACATCAACCAATGCGGCGATACATCCTGCGAAGAATCCTGTGCAAAGTACAGAGAGGGTGCAAAATTCGAGACTGAACACCTCGTCCACACACCCCACCCGAAGCGCGAAGTTAGCATCCCGGAGAAGCATCGCGAGCACGCTGTCCCCTCCCACTTCAAAGCTGAAGGCCACGAAGATTATGAAGATTGCATGAGGAATTGCAGCTCCCACAACTGCCAACACTCAAGTGTTGGAATCGACCTGAACCAGTGCGGAGACACTTCATGCGAGGATCACTGCGTTAAATACAAGCAAGCGGAACATGCAAGCTATGGCAAGAGACAGATTGCACCTGTAGGAGAAGTAGCCACGGTCCCGAACGTCCCCAATGTCCCCAATATGCCTACTGTCCCCGAGGTCCCTACGGTGCCAAACACTCCGGCGGCACCTAATTCTCCTAACGCCCCGCCAGCGCCGCACTCGCCAGCAGCACCTCATGCACCTCATGCCAATGCTAAGCCGGGCACCCATGACGGGCAAACAGTGGCCGAGGGGTCTGCGATGTCAGAATTCGAAACCTGCATGAGCCAATGCAAGACCCACAACTGCCAGCACTCCGGCGTCGGAATTGACATTGAGCAATGCGGCGACACCTCGTGCGAAGACGACTGCGCCAAGTACAAGGAATCGGCCCACGCGGAAGTTGACAAGGAGCGAGTCAAGGCTCCTGGCGAAAAACTCATCGCGAACCCAGCATTCGCCGGCCCAAAGACTTTGATTGTCCCCAACGTCCAAGAAGTGCCTGTCGCCGAAGCACACGAGTCCCAAGAATACCAGGATTGCATGCAGAAGTGCAAGACGCACAACTGTCAGAAGGCCGATGTTGGCCTTGACGTTTCGCAGTGCGGCGACACCTCCTGTGAGCAGAACTGCACCAAGTACAAGGCAGGCATGGATGCTCACGTCGAGGGCGAGCCTCGTCCTGTTCCTGCTCCTGCTCCTGCTCCAAAGACGTTCCCGTCTCACCATTATGGAGAGGTAAGATTTCCGCCCGACGTCCTAAGGTGTTTATACTGATACGTTTCTAGCTTGATCCCTACTAAACCAATCCCTTGAGAATACGGTTGGAATATAATGGATGCGATACTCGTTTTCTGTATGACTCACGAATCAGCCGGATGCCACCTTATATCTGGTGACGTTTTTTCTTACATATTGAAGCATAATAGGGGACCTTGAAGAATGTTTGAGTGTTGGATAGGTACTTGAGTTTTTATTCTTCTTGTTCAGCTTAGTTTAATGAAAACTGTCACAAGCTTCCTAGTCATGCCAGCTGTCATTTGTGGCAGTGTCCTCACTATTCAATGAATCCGTATTTTCCCATCTTCGTGACCTAGGTCGCATCATCCAGGGGTGGTCCTCGCCTCTCCTTTCCGTCAAGTCCCAGCCCCAATTCCCACTGCCATTTAATAGATCCTAACCCTGTAGCGCCTCCTCCAACGTCCTCCCCGTAAGCCGCCTAAACACCTCCCTATACCGCTCACTCGTCGCCTGCAGCACGTCCTGCGGCACCTCCACGCCCTCCTTGCCCTTGAGGCCGTTCTCCGTCAGCCAGTTCCGCAGGAACTGCTTGTCGAAGCTCTCCTGGTCACGGCCGGGCTCGTACTTGTCCTTGGGCCACATGCGGGACGAGTCGGAGGTCAGCACCTCGTCGACGAGCACGACCTCGTCGGTGCGCTCGTCGAGGCCGAACTCGAACTTGGTGTCGGCGATGATGATGTCGCGCTCGAGGGCGTACTCCTGGCCGGCGCGGAAGACGCGCAGGGCCAGCTCCTCGATGCGGGCGGCGTAGTCCGGGCCCACGATCTCGGCGGCCTGCGCGCGCGAGATGTTCTCGTCGTGCTGGCCCTGCGGCGCCTTGGTGCTGGGCGTGTAGATGGGCCCGCCGGGGATGGCGTCGCACTCGCGCAGGCCGGGGGGCAGCGGGGTGCCGTGCACGGTGCCCTTGGCGGCGTACTCCTTCCAGGCGCTGCCGGTGATGTAGCCGCGCACGATGGCCTCGAGCGGGAAGACCTTGAGCTTGCGGACCTGCATGCTGCGGTGGCGGATGAGGCGGGCCTCCTCGGGGCCCACGGCGGGCGGCACCTCCGTCGTCAGGAAGTGCGTCTTGAGCCCCGGGACCTTCTGCGCTAGCACGTTGAACCAGTGCACGGACTGCAGGGTCAGGAGGGCGCCTTTGTCCGGCACGCCGTTCTTCATGACCACGTCGTAGGCGGAGATGCGGTCCGTGGTCACGAACAGCAGGGTCTCGTCGTCTACGCTGTATAGGTCGCGCACCTTGCCCTCGGCTAGCTTGGGGAGCGAGGTCAGGTGGACTTCTGTTAGGACTTGGTTGGAGCCCATGTTTGCGCTTGGTACTTGTTGCTTCTCACTTCTTCCAGCTGTATGACGTCTCAATTTGCTGTTGAAAATTGATGGCTGCTGGTAATAGGATCTTGGGTGTAGAGTGGTGGTTGACTTAGATACCTGATAGTGCTAGAGCTCAAGTCTTATTGGCTGGTTGATAAGTGTAGGTACCTAGGTGAGCTTTTTTCAGGCGCTTCCCCAGAATGATGAAATGTTTCCTGGATGGGAAAGAAAACTTTGCTTGGGGCCAAAATCGGAGCACATCGGCGGCTTTTGATCAACTGTCAAGTGTGACTATGTACCTTATGTAGTACCTACGTAGTCATACCTGTGAATACATGTATTCATTTGATTGAATTATCTACATATGTTACCCTAGGTATCTACCAAATAGCTGACTTCACACGGCAGTCTCGAGTCTTGAGAAATCTCGGCTGCAACAGTGAATATATGTCGATTTTCCCCACTCTTCGTGTGACTTGCAAGCATGGTACCTTGCCTAAACGGGTAACTCGAGGCTTTTCAATCAGCCCGGCTTTGCTCTAAGCTTAACAAGCGCAATAACGGCGGCAAATCTTCACAGCCTATAGGTGAGATGGCCGAGTTGGTTATGGCGTAGGATTAAGGTGTTCTCTTCATCTAAATTCCTATGGAGCAATCCGCGTGGGTTCAAGTCCCACTCTCATCAACATAATTTACATTTTGTGTATTTTCGATCTTTTTCTTTTTCCCTCACCACGATCGGTGATCCGGGAGGACTCCACTTTTACCCGTCATTCCATACGTTACCCTCATCTATCGAAGTCGTACCTAATTCATCATGAAGCAGTTCGTGTAGGTTCGAGTACCACTCTCCTCATCTTTTTCACTATTTTTTTCTTTTTTAAACTTGATGCTGTCTACTAATCAGCCTATTTATTGACACCTTACCTATGCGGCCTTCCTATTAGACCTCATAAGGAGGAACCGGCACTTCCCTGCTCAAAGATCATTCTATGTGAGAGACATTTTGACAGTAGAAAGGACATCGTCCACCCCCGCACGCAAGGAATCAATGGGTCGCCTGATGAACGTCCCTAGCCTTTTGCAGATGTAAGCCAGGAAAGCTTATTGGGTAGGGATTAGTTGTACGGAAGCAGGCTTTCGTGCGAGGTCCTCAAACCTAAGGGAAGTGTAAAATCATACGAATATGAATAAAAGAACCTGCCGATACAGAGAAGCATTTGGGCGATGTGAATTCATACCCACCTGCGATAAACCACTAGGATTGAGGGCGGCACGATCCATTATCTGATTTCGATATCCGTGTTTGCTCTTGGCATGATATCTGTCACGAGGCCGACCAAGCAGGAAGGGAGAGGCAACGTTGTCCCTCAGGGAACTATGAACCTAACTGAGGGGAGAAACCCTCCGTACACATGGGTGAGGCACTCTTTGTCCTGCACTCTCAGATCCCGTTGGGATAACTTCTGACAATATCTGTATATCTACTACGGTCTCTAGATGATAGGCGAGTTCAGGTTTGGGGTTGTAACAACGCCGTTGATACTCACCGCAAGGCCAATATTGCGGCAGTAATTCAGCTTCTGCAATTGTGGTTCACTGTCCTCATGGTCTTGGATGGGTCAGCATTGATCTCATACTCGGTCTTCATATGACGACCGTTCGCTCGAGGTTGATCTTCAAGGGATGTCGTTCGAGAGTGCTACACATCGGGCGCCCGAGAAACGTAGGAAAATGTAACCATAGAGCAGGCAACGATGCGAGCCTGGTGAAGCCCGTCTCTCTAGCACTCGTACCCCCACTCGGCTTATATATCCCAAGCTATTTAGCATGATGGCGAAGTGCAAAGTGACGTGTCCCCCCGCGGACATAGATCACCGACCAGTTGTTCAGACAGTCCATATAGTAGTAGAGGACTCTTGTTAATACGGGTTTAGACCCGTAAGAGCCTCATTTGGAATAGGAGAGCGGGAATTCGGAGAGCTAGAAATCCCCGTGTGTGAAGCCTTGGGGGCTAAAACGGATTTAGGACCTCAATGAGAGTTCCAGATTGCTTGTATTTCCCTAGGCAGTCCTGCGGCTCTTTCAAACACATGACTTCTGAGGCTCTAGTTTGAGATTTGGTGCACCTGAGCGAGTCCATCTCGCTTTTTAATACCCGACTAAGGCAACGAAACTGCCATATAAAAACATTGGCTCTCCCGGGAAATCCAGACTTGAATAATGTTGTTGGTATAGTATCTTCTCGTGTTTATTTGAAAATGGCTTACTACCTCTCGGCTTTGGTATATAAAGTTTATCTTTCATCATCAGTAAATCGATATTCGTCGATCGGCCACGAGTACTCACTCTGAAGAACTCCTTTTCTTAAGGTATCTCAAGTCTCCAAGAACGTATATCAGGAAAAAATTGTTGATATTGTATTAGTTGCTGACCCAGTCGACACTTTATATCATTCCGATGTATGCGATGCGAAGCGTCGACACCTTGGAATCGGCGAACGAGAAATACAATAACTCCTTTACAATCAACAATCTATAAACTCGAAGGAACTTTTCATTGGCGCACCCTGACATATACTCAGTGGGTCCTGGGATGACTCGTTCATATCTACTGAACGCAAGGCTCTATGCAAGGCGTTTTTACACTTGCTCACCGAAACGTACGCCGGGCAAAAGGGATCATCTTAGCGCAAGATATCGTGGCTATGTAAAGAAAATAAGGCGATAGCCGCCTTCCTGCCTAGGTAGTTTTGGTGTTTGGAAGTATTCATCAGCAATTTCTCATTACCAGTGTGTCGCCTTGTCACAATCGTCTCCAGTGCCACCCGCAAAATTCCCCCCTGGACAATCGAGACGAAACAAACAACCAGCCCGACGTAATCACGATTACACGATCCGAGTCTCCAAGCAATGGAACTGCGTGACGTGCATCGTTGTTGCACTTAGGACAGCAGTTGAAGATTCGGTGAAACCAATTCTCGGGTTTGGCCGAATACAGTCAAACATAGGCACACAGCCCTATAATAGGGCAAACCTACCGGGTCTTGTCAAATGTGTCCTGGTATTGCCTAGAATAGTGGCTGAGCTGTCATATGAAGAAGAACTTCATTGATTAGTAGTGCGAAGCATGGGCTCATGATAATACTTTGCGTCGGAAATTTTTGTCTGAGGCGAGTTCTTATCGAATCAAACTTACCCCTAATTCGCATTATCCACTCTCCTTTTTCACGTGAGCTTTGACCGTGTGCTCCTTTACTGCTGTTTTTCAATATCATCGCTCACCTCACTGCCTGATTGATTAATTAATTTGCAAGGTCGAAATACAACTCGTCCAAGAACGACGCCCGCGCCTGACGCTTTCGACTGTGCCCTATCGGGGAATTTTAACCAAGCCATATGCTACCACGGCCTCCCTTTCTATAAGGGCCACTGGGGATTATTAAGAAGCTTACTTCATCGTGGTACTACTCGGATACTGCTTGCCTTAGTGGATATATCACGATGGGATGGCGAAGCTTTGTGTACCGGTCCCCGGGAAGCTAGCGGATACCAATGAATCAAGAGAAAAGCGTTACTCACCACGGAATGATGCTGTCCTTGGAGTGGATAGACCACAGACTTCACCGAGAGTAGGTGTCTCGACGAGTCGCCGGATCCACAGTCTCTGAACTTCCGAGAGCTGGATTGTCCTGTTCGACCCAGACGCGACGAAACCCAATGGGATGCATACTACAATGCCTTATTTCGCTTCCGAATGATCATGCTTGGAGTCTACCTTGCTTTGAGCCATGGGCTGTGTCGATTTTTCTTGGATTGCCCTCTGCTTCGTCACCGCTGTCACAGGAGCGAGTATGAAGAGAATCTGTACATATAAATCAAGCTCCTGAGGCCTCAAGGTTCAAAGCGATCAGAGAAGCAACTTCACTATCACACCGATTCCAAACAGCACTTACAAAAACTCGGGTTAGACTCGATTTTCCGCCAAATATTCGCATCCTATTATACCTCAAGACAACTCCCTCGCAACCATTAACCATGCCTTCTACAACAACTACTACCGTTTGGTACTGTTGCTCTTGCAAATTCGGCCCAATGACCACCGCCTTGACCCCTACTTGCGTCAACTGCCTTAAGCACTCGCAATGCACGAATTGCGATGCAGGAAATACCAGGGTGCGATCGAATCGTTAAAGTGAGCTGCCCGAATTTGACCCGACCTCCTGAACGAAGCCAGCTAATAATTAGAAGGTCTTGAGCTAAGGGGCGGCCCTTCGATACTTTCGAGAAAATGTGAGCTCGGCCTCACTTCCGACAACGGCAATCGGCATCTCCTGGTGGCACTCTTACCAATGCCACATGTCTACTCGCGGGACCAGGTAGCCATCAACATGTTTTCTTTGGTCAGGTCATCTCAGAGGGTCTCTTGGGCGCATTTCGATATACCATTCGGCTTAGGCCCGAATTACAACTACAGTTATGGGAACACAGGACCTACAGGATAGATGGTTGGGGTTGGCTTGTACTGAATAGGGATGGAAAATGGGAATAGAAAGGGGCAAGAGGGCGAAAAGGGAGGAAAAGCAAAAAGAAAAAAAAGAAAAAAAAATAGAGGAAGAAAAGGAGGATTTCTGATCTGGGATAGAGCTTTTTTGCAATTTCTTGTCCGTACTTCCACTGTTCTCTGGTTGTATTAGTTGCTGTCTTTTGAAAGTCTTCTCAGGGGGGAGTCACGCCTGCAGTGTTTCGAATTTAATTTTATTTTCTTGATGTTTTATTCACGCGATCTTATTCAATGATTCTATCTGACTACATAACTAAGGTACCGCACCTATCCAATGTCTCATAACATGCATCTTCACACTCATTGCTTGTATTGAGATTTCATTCTGGAATGGAGGTCGATGCAAGTGGAAAGCAACCGCGTTGACTTCAAACCCCCGGAGTAGTCAATCAAGCGTAAATGTAGGGCCAATTCGAGAATTCGATGGCAGTGCAAGACTACCTAGGTACCTCGTCTAGATAATCTACATCTACGAGCTCTCACGTCATAATCTTAAATTTCGGTATTTCTGACCCTGCGCGCCTCAAAAAGTGTCGTGGCGAAAAAAAGGGCGGATAAGTCTGCCTGGACGCTCATTGGTACATTGGCCCTGTATTAACTACCTACATGTACGTAGCCCTGAGTCTGAGGCTAATAAGGAGGTATTCAGGTAGATACATGGACGTCGGATCATGCATAATATTTCGCACATGGCATAAACGTCATTCGGTACACCCAGCCAGGTGGGTTGATTCGGAAGAAAGCGAGGCGGCCAGTAAAATGAACAGACGCCCTTACGTTCGGATCCGAGTAGGGTGAGATCCTTGTATTCTCAGGGGGAGAAAGGGTGTGCACAGATCTACGGGACGCGTTCTAGATTACGGGATAGCTAAAGGATTGCCTGTGACAGCCAGTCACCTATGAGAAAAGGGTTTGCTACGAGGCGCCACCACGTGCGGTACCATGGACACCTACACCATCTGGTGGAACGTGTGCGACGTAAGGCGTTGAGGCTGAGCTTGTGTTTGCGTTATTAATTGCACACATGAACCGAAGATCCCGTGAGGAGTCATCTATGCGCGGAAATGGTATGGCGACGAAAGGGCGTGTTTGACTGGCTCGATTAGAGAACATGCGAAGTCA